GAGTATCAAAATGTTACCACGCCGCTTTACTGTAGTTGAAGTTTTGTAGTAGTTGTCGGCTGCCAGTTAACTGTTAGCGAACGCGTGTCGTGCTGAATCATAGATATCACACACACACACACACACACACACACACACCACACACACACACACACACACACACACACACACACACACACACACACACACACACACAGCCACACACACACACACACACACACACACACACACACACACACACACACACACACACACCACACACACCACAACACACACACATATATCATATATATCGTATATATGTGATATCTATGTGCTGAGCCCGGAGTCGATTTCATTTAATTTCACGGACCCTACTAATTCGAATTAACACGGACGTATACGGATCGCGGATGTTAATGCATCTGGTGCATTGACACTACTATGATTATGTATCGTATACAGTTATACATACCGCAGATAATGACGAGAGTGTATGCCGAGTATTTCTCAGCAGCAGCAGCAGCAACAGCAGCATCTAGTGTTGCAGTCGGCCGCTGATGAATCTTGATCGACTCCTAACATTATTTAAAAATTCCATTAGTCCGCTGTGTATCTCAATCACACATATCTACGTGGCGTGCAATACTATAGCGCAGCGATCGGCGTATATGTTGAACAGAGTAAGCTTAAATTAATTATGCGAGTAGGGTTCTAAACGGGGGAGTGCAGCCGTCGGGCCCGTTGGCATCTCCTCCGTTCGGTCACCGACGGGGCCCAGAAGGTATATATAATGGGAAACGACGACGGCACAGCAGAAGGCGCAGCGCGGGCAGCCGATCAGTACGAGTCCATCATGCGCTCGGCCAGGCCAGCAGTATCTCGCCGACCGGACGTACGGGTGGTAGCTCGCACCCCGGAGTCCCGAGGGCAGTATCTGGCAGAACCGACGCAAGGGAGTCGCTTGCCGACCACCGCGGCGAATGAGAAGACGGGGCTTAAGCCCGAAGACCTCCGAAGTCTCACAACGCTGGTGCGGGATTTAGTCCGGGAGGAACTCGGGGCTAGCCCCCGACCCTCCGGAGTCCCACGGCCGACACCGAAGCGAGGCAACGAGACACGCGGAGGTGGAGAGTGTTTCCACTGCGGGGCACGTGGCCATTGGGCCCTCCGATGTCCCGAAAAGAGAAGAGGCACGGCCAGGTACCCTGGGCCTCCTCCTCAAGACCAAGTACGCGCTCGTCCGACCGGTGATGCCAACAGCCAGGATGCTAGGCAGCGGTCGGGAAACGAGTAGCGACGGGGCCACGCACACCATCGCCGACAACTCTGCAACGACCGTTCCCGGGAATAGCTCTAGCACGGCCTGCGGCCGCATGGGAGCTTCCCGTGGAGATCGGCGGCCGAGCAGTTAAGTTGACTCTTGACACCGGCGCAGAGTTGTCACTCCTGGACTATGCAACCTTTGAAGAGCTGCCTCCTGACGGGTTCGACCTGCAGGAACAAGCGGCCACAATGGTGGATGCACAGGGGGAGGAGATACCGGCGGTGGGGGAACTGTGTCTGGACCTCGTCGTTCACGGGAAAATCTATCCTCATACCTTTACGGTGGTGAGGACGGATCTCCGTGGCGGAATACTGGGTATGGACTTTTTGCGTCGACATGATTGTCAGCTGGACGTCGCGCGAGGGCATTTGACCATCAACGGCACCCTCGACGTGCTACACGAGCGACCGGGTTTGTGGCCGCAGGTGTTGCGGGCAAGTTCCCGCACGATGATTCCCCCGGGCCACGGTGGTGTGATCCGGGGAAACGTCGTAGACAACCCCTGGCCGGCCGACGAACTAGCGCTGGCAGAACCGACGCAGGGATTCCAGAGACGCTGTCATAGGCGGGGGGCTTATATGGCTCGAACCTTGGTCGATACGAGCGGCCGAGGCGTTCCCCTATGGGTAACTAACCCTGGCCCGTCTACGATGGTAATACACCCGGGTGAGAGGATAGCGTGGATAGCGCCGATCACTCGGATTGCTCCGGCAACCAGTGCGGACGGGAAATCCACCGCCTTGGACTCCGGGGAGACAGGAATCCCCGAACACGTGGTTGGCCTCTTAGACGGGGTGGATCCGGCCCTCGGAGAGGAACAGCGGCACGCAGTGGGAGAAACCTTGCGTAAGTATGCTAAGCTGTTCACGGCTCCGGGGGAGAAGCTGGGGCACACCAACCTCGTGAGGCATACTATTAACACGGGGGACCACCCCCCTGTGAAGCAGGCCCCGAGACGGTGCGCCCTAGCAAAGAGGGAGGTAATGGGAACCGAAGTGGAAAAGATGCTGCGGGATGGCATGGTCCGTCCGAGCAACAGCCCTTGGGCGTCTCCTGTGGTCCTGGTGACGAAAAAGGATGGCAGCCCACGCTTTTGCATCGACTACCGTCAGCTGAACTCGGTGACGGTCAAGGACGCCTACCCGCTCCCGAGGATCGATGACACCCTGGACTCCCTTGCTGGAGCCCAGTGGTTCAGCACTCTCGACCTCACGAGCGGATATTGGCAAGTGGAAATGGACCCGAGAGACGCTCAGAAGACCGCGTTCAGTACCCGTGAGGGCCTGTTCGAATTCAAGGTAATGCCGTTCGGCTTGTCCAATAGTCCGGCTACCTTTGAGAGGTTGATGGAGCTTGTCTTGAGGGGCCTCCAGTGGAAGGAATGCCTTGTGTACCTGGATGACATAATCATCTTCGGGACTACGTTCGACCAGGCCCTGGCACGTCTCCACCACGTCTTTGATCGCTTGGCGGGGGCCGGCTTGAAGCTCAAGCCTTCCAAATGCTCCCTCTTCCGAAGGAGCGCCTCGTATCTCGGACATATCGTCTCCGCGGAAGGAGTCAGCTGTGATCCGGGGAAGATACAAGTGGTGCGTGAATGGCGAGCTCCGCAAACGGTAAGTGATGTACGCAGTTTCTTGGGATTTGCCAATTACTATCGGCGGTTCATTCCGAATTTTGCTACAACCGCCGCCCCACTCACCGAGCTCACGAGGAAGGGTGTTGTCTTCCGGTGGTCGGGGGGATGTCAGGCTTCTTTCCAGACATTGAAGGAGCAGCTCACATCCTCCCCCGTGTTGGCATACCCCACAATGGAAGGTGCGTTTGTCCTGGACACGGATGCCAGCGCTTCGGCGATGGGTGCAGTTCTCTCCCAAGTCCAGGCAGACGGGGAGAGAGTGATCGCCTATGGAAGCAAGGTATTCAGCTCCACACAACGCAGGTATTGCACCACCAACCGGGAATTGTTGGCCGTGGTCACGTTCGTGAAGCATTTCAGATATTATCTGACCGGCAGGCCCATCACGGTGCGCACCGATCACGCCTCCCTTACGTGGCTCCTGAGGTTTAAGGAACCCGAAGGGATGGTGGCGCGTTGGATTGCTTTCCTCGGAACGTTCGATCTGAGGATTGAGCACCGGCCGGGGAGACTGCACGCTAACGCCGACGCACTGTCCCGCTTGCCGGGCGCTCGGCCTTGTAAACGTGCAGACTGCCCCGAATGTTTCTCAGCTGGACAGAAGTGGCCGGCTATCCGGGTGGTACGGAGGCCGAGGGGACGAGTGCCTCGAGCCCTCGTTCGACCACAGGTGCATACACGAGCCCGAGCCGCTGAAACGCTCTGTCGCTGGACGACGAAGCAAGTACAGCAATGGCAGGACGAGGATCCAACCATCCGGCGGATCCGCCAGCTGAAGCAGGAGTACGTGGGCCAGCCCCCGTACTCTGTGCTGGCCGATGAGTCTTGGGAAGGAAAAAGGTACTGGGAGCGATGGGACCGTCTAAGAGTACGCGGAGACTTGCTCTATCAGACGTGGACCCCGAGGTACGCTCCCGGAGACACCAGACTCCTCCTCATAGCTCCGCGCGCCCTACGGAGGAACTCTTGGAGCTCCTGCACGGCGGGAGAATGACGGGACACTTCGGAAATCGTAAAACTCTCGCTCGAGTCCTGCAACACTTTACGTGGCCAGGAGCTCGCCGGGATGTTGAACGATGGTGCCGGAAGTGCGACACTTGCGCTAGACGCAAAGGCGCGCGCAGGAAGCAGGCGGGGTTAAAACAGCAGCCCATCGGCGCTCCATGGGAGAGGATGGCCATCGACTTTGTCGGGCCACTGCCTTCCACCGGGAGCGGGAACAAGTATGCGCTAGTCGCTTGTGATTATTTCACCAAGTGGGCGGAGGCATATGCTGTTCCTGATCAAACAGCGCGAACCGCGGCCGAGTGCCTGGTAACGCAGCTGTTGCCCCTCGGTTACACTCCGACCAGGGGAGGTCTTTCGAGGCAAAGCTGTTTACGGAGATCTGCAAGCTCCTCGAAATTGACAAGACCCGCACAACGCCGTATCATCCACAGTCGGACGGGCTAGTCGAGAGACTTAACCGTACCATTCTGGATATGCTGGCAAAGGTCGGAAACGCGCAGAAAAACGACTGGGACGTACACCTCCCTTTCGTGATGGCAGCGTACCGTAGTACACCTCAGGAGAGTACGGGGGTGAGTCCGAACCTCATGATGTTCGGTCGTGAGGTCGGATCGCCGGTGGACCTCATGTTCGACTGCTTACCGGGACTGGAGTATCCGGCTTGCCCGGTGGAGTATGTTGATTGGGTGAGACAGTCCATTCGTGCAGCGCATCAGCACGCGCGTACGCAATTGGGAAGAGCGGCGGAGAGGCAGAAACGGAATTATGACAAACGTGTCAAACCGGCAGCCTTTCCGCCGGGCACCTGGGTGTGGCGATACTACGTGCCTGCCTCTGGGAAGCTGGGCACTCCCTGGCAAGGTCCGCTCCTAGTAACACGGGAGCAAGGGACGCTTCGCTGGGTGCAGGCCCAGGAGACTGACCCACCTAGTGTGGTAGCGGACGACCTCAAACCTTACGTGGGGGACTATGCTCCGGAACGTTGGCCGCTTCCGGGAAGCCGCCATTCCGGGAAAGCATCTCCCGTGAAGACACGGTAGCACGAGGGAATCGACGTGGCAACCAGCAGGGACGTATCATGTGCCGAACCCGCCGTGAACGTCAAGCTGAGGTAAGGGGAGTTGGACTCTCCATGTAGCGAAGGACAGGGGAGCATGGCGATGCACGTGCATTGGCAGTTCCCGTGCAACGTTTCCGGCATGTTCACGGAGAGCCGTAATGTCAATGCGGAGCGTGGGATCTTTTGTTTCCCCGAGCTCCGGGAGCATCCTTTAGTGTTCGCTACCCGTCACGAGCCGAGAAGACAGGGAGGCATCGGGTAAGGGTTACCCTCCTCCCAGTGTGAGGCTACGCAAGTATGTCAGACCGGGTGCCGGGCACCCGCCACGGTCTTGGGTAAGTCTGTGCAGTCTGTAACCCCACCCAATAAGTGTCTACGTGTAGCAGTGTTGCCGGGCAATACACTACAACCTACGTACCGCCGCCGGGTATCGCAGGCCGGGGTGGACACAATTCATATTAACGTCCACATTAAATTCGTATTAGGACCCCTGGGTGGACACAATTCATATTTAACGTCCGACAGTTAATTCGTATTTGGACGCCTGGTGGGACACAATTCCATGATTTAACGTCCACATTAATTCGATTCCGTCCTAAAACCCGTCTTAAAGCCAATGAGAGCCGTGGATTTTAGACGGAAGTGATGATTTCTCACTTCCGCCAGAAATTCCGTATTGGACGCCGGGGTGACACAAATTCTATATTTAACGTCCACATTAATTCAGTATGGACCTGGCCTGGACTACATATCCATATTTAACGTCCACATTAAATTCGCGTTGCCGTCCTTAAAAAATCCGTCTTAGGCACAATGAGAGGCCGGTGGATTTTAGAGCGGAAGCGATTGATTATCTACGTCCGTCAGAAAATTCCATCGCTTCCGTCCTAAAAAGATCCACGGCTCTCATTGGTAAGACGATTTTAGGACGGAAGCGAATTAATGTGGAGTTAAAATATGAATTGTGTCCACCCAGGCGCCAATAGAAATTAATGTGGACGTTTAAATATGAATGTTCCACCCAGGCGTCCAATACGAGAGTTAATGTGGACGTTAAAATTAATTGTGTCCACCCCGCCTGCGATAAAGGGTAGCGAGGTGATGGCAATATATTAATATTCGCGCGTGCTATTTCCCAGGTTGCATTCCTTAGACGATATCGTAACAGGTGGCGGTAGCCTTCCCGTCGGCGCTACGACGTGGCAATACAGGTACGCGAGACGGGACGGATTCACGAACACCCGCCCGTCAGCGGCGTTAGCCGCGCCGCTGGGGAATGGGCCGGCGGGATCGGCGATATGGACTAATGCCTGTCCATGCGCCGCGAGCCGTGGAAGGGCAAGG